AGGCATGTCTTATCTATTGAAGAAATGAGAGAGAGAAAGATATGAAATAATTAGTTGTATGTTATTTACTCATATAAGTGTTTTCTAGCAGTACAAAGAGCTTCCAGGAGTCCTGCAGCTCAGTGAAAGAGTAAACTGGCAAGGCTACAGGTCATTAATGAGAATGAAGGTGAGACCAGAGTTAGGATTCTTTAGGATGAACTAAAGTATGAAAAACAGCAACCTCATTTTGAAATCTTAAATATATCTTAAGGAACATCAGAACCTATCAACATATAAGTAGAAACAATATAATGAATTTCTCTGTTTCAGCAATTTCTCAAATGCCTCAACTTTTTGAATTAAGCTATTTATTAAACTGTTAATAAAGACAGATTCTCCATTTATTTGATCTAAGTCTTAGAGCTGCCTGAAATACATAAATTGCCAAAGATTTCCAAACTTTCTCGGTTTACAGGGATTTTTTTATGGTGTTCCTAGGCCACAGGAAATACCCAACACTTCTATTTATTAAGTAGTTAACTGCAAACAACTTAATAACTTAATAATTACTTAAGTATTTTCAACCCAAAGATTTCCAAACTTTCTCGGTTTACAGGGATTTTTTTATGGTGTTCCTAGGCCACAGGAAATACCCAATACTTCTATTTATTAAGTAGTTAACTGCAAACAACTTAATAACTTAATAATTACTTAAGTATTTATGTTCCAACAACTTACAAGCCATTTGCAAAATAATGCACATAACTGAAAGAAAAATAATAATTTTATTTTATTCTTTATAACCAAAATTACTTATTAATGGCATGTGTGTGCTTGTTGTACAATGTAAACTTCTCAGACCTTAGAATTAGATTGTACATGGTTACTCTCATTTACTGGTCCAATATGATTTTCACAGGGTACTTGCTCTTTATTATAGCAACCACCAAAATCCATTTTTCAAAAATGTGATGTCATCAAAAGGAATATAGCACAATCTATTACATGGAAACGGTGAACTACCTCAAGCTAGGAGTTTGTTCAGCATCCAACAGACACCACTGTGTTTTTGTTAAAAATGGGACGCCCCTGTGAATCCACTAAGGTGGCCCAGGCCATATCAACCCACATGTTGAATGCCATGGGTTTAACCACTAACCCTGGATTTTCTCATTCTGGAATTTTCTGTTTTTATCTCTCTAGTTGTTTTTACAGGTTCAGAATTAAAAATAACTAGAAAATAAAATCAGTCTTAGAGTGATGTCAGTTTTCGCTTTCAACACCCTTGACTATACAACCATTTTAGACCAGTTCACAGCTATTAACGCCCTGTGTTCAATAACATTACCTCCATTTTATCAGGCACACTTGTCTCACAATTTCCCATTTTCCACATTTGTTGAAATCCTATTGATGCCTGTCTTGAAGTTACCTTCAGTTGTAAGTTTCTACCACTGTGTTTTTCTCTTTTGTTTCTTAACTATAGCCTTTGATTCATATGTCTTATTTTCTTTTAATGTTGTTTCAAGTCAGTTTTCTGGTTTAATTATTTTCTACATTAGGAAACTGTTAATTTAAAAAATATATTTTAGAAATTATATTTTGTTATGAGAATCATTGCACCTATTTTGAGTTATATTGACCTTACTATTTGTGATTTTTTTATCCAATAATTAACCGAAATCATACTTCCGACCATCTCTACTAATTTAAATTTTCTCATGTCCATTAAACAAACTGGATACTTTTTCCTATAAAATAAAGAAAAAGAAAAAAGTGGGAATAGCATGTGACAATATATAATGATAATGTTATCTTATTGGTCTTTATATTATTTGTGGAGTTTTTTTGTCATAACTTTCAGAAAGACTTTTAAGTTGTTTTGACTTTCTGAGCAAAATGAGGGGAATGAGCAAAACTATTTATTGCACATGCCATATTACAAAGGAATGTAGGACTGGAACTGGAATCTGTTCATAAATAGAACATCAACCTTCCAATTTTAGAAGACTTGTCTTCCAAATTTAAAGTCTAAACTCACAGCACATGAAAATGGCTGGTGCATTCGCACTTATTTTACTTCAATTGTGACTTGCATAAGTGTAAATAGATAAATCATGATATGCATACCGTTCAAAAATATAAAGGCAATAAATTTATTTTTTTAAATATGGTTATTTCAGTACTGTGTATAGTGTATATCAATACTGTCTTTGATTTTATTTAGGCTAATTATTTCCATAACTAATAGTAGCTAAGAGAAGACATGGAATTTCCATAATGCTGTGTGTTTCTTTATAAATCCTGTATATCAAATGTACCATGCCTATCTCAGTTAATAACTTTCACTTCAAGAATTATTCAAGCTGTCTTTAGAAATCATAATAGCTAGAATATGGTAAAACCTAAATGACAGATACAAAAGTATATTATGCCATAGCTCTTAATCCTGAAATGTAGATAACCCATGACTCTAAAGGCTAGCTACAGAGCTTACAGATTTAGTATGAATTGAATTTGAATGGTACAAACAAAATGGGTTCTGTGCCTAAGTTTTTATTAAACAAAAACCGTAAACCATTAAATGTAAAATCTTCCATTCTTTTACTAAAGTGTTGATATCTATTTCTAAGACAGACCCCTGGCATTTCCTTTTCTTTTGTTCGTTTTTGTTTGGGGGTGGGTGAGAAATATGCAAATGTATTCCATGGTTACTAATTCTGACTGTTCATCTTTCTCATGGATGTCTGGCACATTTCACATAAAATGCACGATATTGCATGTGCTTTCTTTGTTGCCTTGGCCTCTGCTGTATCATTTTTTTGCTTCCAGATAGCGGTGGGTGTGCTCGCAAACGTGCTGCCATGTCTGTTACGTTAACATCTGTGAAGAGAGTTCAAAGTTCTCCAAACCTATTGGCTGCAGGTATAATATCGCTAACTCAAAGAATGTCACACTTGAATGGCTTTACCTGACCTTTCTCTCTTTCCAGAACTATCTTGTTTGGATGAATTAAGTGGCTGTAAACACATTTCGGATGCCCCACAAGTTCTTATTTTTCTTGTCTGGAGAATAGCTTCTATCCCTTCTGACCGTTTTTGTTCTAAAAATAAAAAGCCAAAGAGGAAACTGATATCTTGTAGAAGCATTTTAAAAATCCAATTAAAAACAGTCATGTGCCAAAAATATGTTGAGTAACTGCAAGTGTTAATAATAACTATTTAAGTTTTTGTCGTCTCATCAACTAAAGTAACATAATATTTCGTTAGGATAACTCATAGTTCCTTTTGCTGTTTTTTTTTTGTTTTTGTTTTTGTTTTTGTTTTTTTTAACCTAAAAACTGTTGGGGCAATGTCCAGGGGGTCAGGAAGAAGGATTTCCTGGGAACTGAATCTTCACTAACGCGCTTCATCACCAAAGGTTGCAAATAGAATGAATAGAATATTAGTTTTGAAAGAGACTTTAACCTTCCTTTAATCCAATGAGCAAAGACCCTTCTAATATATATTTTTAAACATATTAAAATCTTGACCAAATAAGATTAACACACAACCACAGATATAAATATACTCTAGAAAATGATTCAGGGTTGTGACATTTTAGCATCCACTAAGGTGGACCTCCTTATAATAAATGTTTGCTGTAACTTATCTAAGCTTGCAGGCACATTCTGCAGCTGTGGAAGAAGAGCAAGTGAGCCAGCAACCCCAGTGTATCTACACCCTGAAATATACCCCAACCTTTTGATGACTGGTTGGTTGACTGGTTGGTTGCCTGTTGGTTGGTTTGATTGTTGCTTGATTAGTTACAGTTTGGAGGTTGCTTGTTTTTTATTTTAATATTAATGGGTTTGGGAGCAGAAATGGGAAAAAGATGGAGAGTCTTGAAATAGTTTTAATTCTCACTGTGCATAGCACTGTCTTTTACCCACGTACATTTTGCAGTTGCTTAATACTCAGGGTGTCCTAAGCTTTAAAGCCACTTGATCCTAAACTACCCAGACTTGTTGAGGAAAAAAATAAAACTTCCATATGGAGGATCCTACTTCCTGCCCATTACCCCCAATCCACAAATGAATTTTAATGTCCAAGTTTAAATTCCAGGCCAAAGGGTTCCATAGTATATTAAATTAAAAGAAAATGCAAGTTGCATTGCAATGTATATAGTATGATCTCATTTTGGTTAAAAAAAAAAAGCCTCTACAAATGTATTTGTACATATTTGCTCATGTGTGCATAAACAGGTATTTGAAAAACTACAGAGTGTTTACACTGGACACCTCAGGGAAATGAGAATTAAGGAAAGTAAGAAAATAAAGTCCAGGGACATCATGTAATTGGAATGTCTATACCATGAATACATTGACATTTCAACCAAGTAAAATCCCAATCTAAGCTACTGGAATGTGGGCCATTCATGCATACAGTAGGGAATGAGGTGTTGCTTCAACAGTGCCAAATTGTCGTTATTTATAAAAGTAACCACT